GGGATGAAGACGGGTAAGTCGGTCCTTCTGCAAGGCCACGGAGGATAGAGACTCAGCCCCCAGAGAATTGAGGACTCCAGCGCCAGGACCGACAGCCAAAGAGTTATTGAACTTATCTCTCAATATATGTAAAGCTCCTGGTTCACTTTATGTCCTCAAGAATGTACTGACTGGACAGGTTCCTCTTCTCACAGACCCCCAAAGTCCTGGATTTTGGCCTTGCTCCAGGAGTTCTTTAAGACCCTAAGGACTTCATCTCGCAGCCAAATGCAACGAGAGTCGCCTCTAAGGTCTCCAAAACCTCAGACCGGATAATAACATCAACAGCAAAATAAAAGTCAGTGACCTCAATGTTAGTGGCAACGATGTCTCCGCAGCCGATGTCTCTCTCTCTCTCTCTCTCTCTCTCTCTCTCTCTCTCTCTCTCTCTCTCTCTCTCTCTCTCTCTCTCTCTCTCTCTCTCTCTCTCTCAGTTCTACCCAGCATTCAGTCAACGTAAGAACCGGAAAGCACTGATGCAAGGACACACATTTGCCTCACTATCATCATTCACAGGGAAGAAGCTAGACATATCATCTCCTCGCTTTTTAGTAACATAATACAAGCTTGCTAATATTTTTCGGAATCTTCTGGGGGCAGCTTTGAGGAACAAATCAATAAAAAATGAAAAAATACATGACAATAACAAGAGCGGAGAGAGAGATACAAGAGGGAGAGAGAGAGAGAGAGAGAGAAGGAGAGAGAGAAGAGAGAGAAGAGAGAGAGAGAGAAGAGAGAGAGAGAGAGAGAGAGAGAGAGAGAGAGAGAGAGAGAGAGAGAGAGAGAGAGAGAGAGACAGACAGAGAGAGAGAGAGACAAGAGAGACGTATAGATAGATATAAATCACGACAGGTAGATGTATACAAGAGAAACTAGCGCGACAAGAAAGAATGACAGAGAAAGAGAGAATCTAATTCATCTAAAAGAACAAGAAGAAAACGTGAGAGCTAGAAAACAGTCAGTAGAGACCGACGGAAAAGAAGCCAATGGGTTAACCTACCCGTCGTTATAAAGTGGTAAAGAGCTGTTACCTTTTGCGAGTTCGCACGACCGAAGCAGTCGAAGGGTTATTAGGGTTAATTACAGCAATTATGCTAATGTCCCGAGGTTCATTACGGGCGGTGAGGAAGCGATCTCATAATGTACGTAATGAACACGCACAATCTTCCCCGTCAAGCTTTTGCTCTGGTTTTGTTTTGCGGTGCAATTGTGAGCGCCATGCGGGTGGCTTCAGGTTTCGAGACTCTGAGACCGGGGGTTCGAGACACAGAGAGAGGAGATTGAGCGAGGGAGAGGAGGGAGGGAGGGAGGAGAGGCACAGAGAAGAGAGAGAGGGTGAGGCCCAGAGAGAGAGAGAGGAGAGAGAGAGAGAGGAAGAAGAGGAGAGGAGAGAGAGAGAGACGAGAGAGAGAAAGAGAGAGGAGAGAGAGACGAGAGGAGGAGGAGAGGAGGAAAGAGGAACAGGAGGAGAGAGAGAGAGAGAGAGATGAGGAGAGAAGGGCGAGAGAAGAGAAAAGAGGAAGAGACAGACAGGAGAGAGGAGAAAGAGGCAGAGAGAGAGACGTTGAACCTTATGGTTATTTTATCATCTATTTGTGATTATCATAGCACTAATAAAAAAATAATTATAATGATACAACTATGATACGAAATTATGACTTATTATTATTGCTATTGATTATCATTACGTATATATCTTATCTTATGTTGTTATTTCATTGCCCACCATGCTTTTGATCCCCTCCTCATCTCTCTTTCTCTCTCTCTCTCTTCCCCTCTCCTCTCTCTCTACCCTCTCTCACCTCTCTCTCTCTCTCTCTCTCTCTCTCTCTCTCTCTCTTTCTCCTCTCTCTCTCTCTCTCTCTCTCTCTCTCTCTCTCTCTCTCTCTCCTCTCCTCCCTCCCTCTTTCTCTCTCCCTCTCCCTCCTCTCTTCGCTCTCCTCCTCCTGAAAAACACCCCTACCCGCACCCCTCCTAACCCCACCCCCCGCCAACACCCACCCCCATCGCCACCAGTCGCCGCGCGCCGCCGCCCCAGCCGCCCACTAACCTACCCTCCTTCCCTCGCCCACCCCACCCGACTCTGCTGTCGGTCCTCACCCCTCCCCGCCTCCTCCCTCACGCCCTCGCCCAACCCATCTTCTCTCTCTCCGCACCCCATCTCTTTCCCTCGCCCCACCTCTCCTCTTTCGCCCAACCCCCCACCTCTCTCCCTCCCCCCAGCGCGAGCTCTCTCCGCCCCCCTTCCCCCGCCCCCACTTCTTCCCTCACCACACACACCAGCCAACTTCCCCCTCACCGCGTCCCCCCACCTCTCCCCTCGCCCCTACCCACCTCTCTCCCTCACCCTTTCCCCCTCATCTCTCTCCCTCCTCCCCCACCCACCCACCTGTCCCTCGCCCCCTTCACCCCCTTCCCCCACCCACCTCTCTCCCTCACCCTCCACCCCCTGCTCAACCTTCACCCCTTCCCCACCACTCTCTCCCTCGCCCCCACCGTCCACCCCACCTCTCTCCCTCCCCCCTTCCCCCCCATCTCTCTCCCTCGCCCCTTCGCCATCCACCTCTCTACCCCCCGCCCCCCCCACCCACCTTTCTCCCTCTCCCTCGCCCCACTCTCTCCCTCCCCCCACGCCCTCCTCAGCCCCCCTCTCCCTCACCCCTTCCCCCCCCTACAAAGGTCACGGCGCCAGCACGGGACACTCGGCGACCGAAGCGAGCGTCTTCTGTCAGGTTTCGCTTCGCTAGTCGAGCGTTTTACCGCTAGCGTCTCGGAATGTGCTCGGCCTTCTGTTCAATCGGCTTCGTTGCGCGTTGAACAAGTGGTCGGGGTGCATTGAACAAATGGGCGTGAACAAGTGGGCGTTGAACAAGTCGGTCGGGTGCGCTTGAACAAGTGCGTCCAGGGTGCGGTGAACAAGTGGTTGTTGGGCGTTGAACAAGTGGTCGGACGTCGGACGTTGAGACAAGTGGTTGTTGGGCGCTTGAACAAGTGGGTCGGGGTTGGCGCTTGAACAAGTATGTCAGCCGGTGCGCTTTGAACAAGTCGGTTCGGGGTTGCGTTGAACAAGGTCTTGGGCTGCGTTGAACAGTGGTTGTGTTGCGGTTGAAAGTGTGTTGGGAGTTGGAACAAATTGTCGTGGCGTTTGAACAAGTGGTCGGGGTGGCGTGAACAAGTGGTCGGGGTGCGTTGAACAAGTGGTCGGGGTGCGTGAACAAGTGGTCGGGCGTTGGCCAGTTGAACAAGTGTTGTTGGCGTTTGAACAAGTTGGGCGTTGAACAAGTGGCCGGTGGGAGTTGAACAAGTGGTCGGTGTGCGTTGAACAAGTGGTCGGTGTGCGTTGAACAAGTGGTCGTTGGGCGTTGAACAAGTGGTCGTTGGGCGTTGAACAAGTGGCCGTTGGGAGTTGAAACAAGTGGTCGTTGGGCGTTTGAAACAAGTGGCCGCTTGGCGTTGAACAAGTGGTGCGATTGCGTGAACAAGTGCGTCGGTGTGCGTTGAACAAGTGGTCGTTTGGGGCGTTGTAACAAGGTGGTCGTTGGGCGTTGAAACAAGTGGCGTTGCGGAGGTTGAAAAGTGGTGTTGGCGGTTGAACAAGGGCCTTGGGCGTTTTGAAAAGTGGTCGTTGGGCCGTGTGACAAGGTGGCCGTGGGCGTTGAACAAGGGTCGTTGGGCGGTTGAACAAGTTGGTCGTGGGCGTTTTGAACAAATGGCCGTTGCGCGTGAGACAGTGGTCGTTGGGCGTTGAACAAGTGGCCGTTGGGAGTTGAACAAGTGGTCGTTGGGAGTTGAACAAGTGGCGTTTGAAACAAGGTGCCCGTTGGGCGTTGACAACAGTGGTCGTGGGCGTTGAACAGAGTGGCGTTGGCGGCGTTGAACAAGTGGTCGTTGGGCGTTGAACAAGTGGCCGTTGGGCGTTGAACAAGTGGTCGTTGGGCGTTGAACAAGTGGCCGTTGGGAGTTGAACAAGTGGTCGGTGTGCGTTGAACAAGTGGTCGGTGGGCGTTGAACAACTGGTCGTTGGGCGTTGAACAAGTGGTCGTTGGGCGTTGATACAAAGTGGTCGCCCGTGTGCGTGAACAAGTGCGTCGGTGTGCGTTGAACAATGTGGGTCGCGTTGGCGTTGAAACCAAGTGGGTCGTTGGGCGTTTGAACAAGTGGCGTGGTGCGTTGAAAAACAAAGTGGTCGGTGTGCGTTGAACAAGTGGCCGTTGGGAATTGAACAAGCTGGCCGTGGACGTTGAACAAGTGGTCGTGGGAATTGAACAAGTGCCGTTGGGAGTTGAACCAAAGTGGTCGTTGAACAAGTGGCCGTTGGGCGTTGAACAAGTGGTCCGTTTGGACGTTGAAACAAGTGGTCGAGTAATTTGGGAGTTGAACAAGTGGCGCGTGGGCCGTTGAACAATGGACCGTTGGGGTTGACAGTGGCCGTAGGGAGTTTGAACAAGTAGGTACGTGGGAGTTTGAAACAAGTGGCCGCTGGGCGTTGAACAAATGGCCGTTGGGCAGTATAGCTTTTGTTCTGAAGAAAACAGTAGTGGCCGTTGGTTGTTGAAACAAGTAGCACGTTTGGGAGTTTGAAACAAGTGGCGCGTATGGGCCGTATATGAACATAGTGGTCGTTGGGAAGTTGAACAAAGTTGGTCGTTTGGAGTTGAACAAGTGGCCGCTGGGCAGTGAACAAATGGACCGTTGGCGTTGAACAACGTGGCCGTTGGTTTTGGAACAAAGTAGCCGTTGGGAGTTGAAACCAGTGGGCACTGTTGGGCGTATGGAAACCAAGTGTCGTTAAGGGAGTTGAACAGTGGTCCGTTGGGCGTTTGAACAATGTGGTCCGTTGGCGTTGAACAAGTGGGCCGTTGGGAGTTGAACAATGGCCGTTGGGAGTTGAACAAGTGGCCGGTGCGCCTTGAAGACCAGTGGCCGCTGGGCGTTGAATACCAAGTGGCCGTGGGCGTCAT